AAGTCTGAAAATAGGCTCAAAATTTAGACATCAAATAATTTTAAGAATTTGGGGAAAAAAATAAATAAATAAATTTAAAAGGCTATCATATAACCCTTAACTAGATATTTGAATGAATTATTATCAGTCTTCGAACGGATTACCATCAAAATCAGACGATCACGAAATTTGACTGATCGGCTTTAACTCTAATATTAAATAAATTAAGATAAAGTTTCATAGATTATTACTAATCAAAAATTCATTGGAAAATCTATAAATATAAATTTGAAGTAAAGAGATAGATAATTATATTTATTACATTATTAATATCTAAACTTGAATTAATTTTAACATTGAAATATTCTTTTCCAGCTATTCGTCAAACAGTTTAAACGAATAATTATGATAAACTTGAAGTGGAAGATAATATTTGAATCATTTGAACTACCTTGATCTTGTTTTCATAAAAAAAATATGAATAATGGTTTGTTATTTTATTAAGGAGAATGAGAAAGAAAGAAAAAAAAGATTCTCTTTTGATTTTCGTTCTTCTAACAATGAAGCAATTCATAATCTAACAGCGATGCTTTTGTGGCATTACGTAGTTTTTGAATGATAAGTTTGTTCTTAAATTTTCAAGGAAGAAACCTAATCTTATTTGTTTGGTATAGATAATGTATTTGTTTAATGTGTTATTATTAATCAATGCATGATTTAACAAATGCTCCTCGTATTTCGGTTATGTCTTACGCGTATGCCAAGTGTAATGGCTTTGATCGCGTTTAGTTTAACTTAACCGCAAAGTTTATCAAAGACTAAAGAGTATATTTTCAAGAATAGAGTATAAAAGTAACACGTATTAATTAAAAATTAACCATTAATACTATGATTTTTTGTGATAACATCAAAATCATTTAGGAGTATTTCTTGTGTAGAAAGTAATATCCAAGCTTATCAAAGATAGGCATGCACAGAATTACAGTAGTCATAATAGGAACTATGACTTTTTAAAACCAAACTATGTGCCGTTTATTATTCCACACAATGTAAAATCTATGTCATTCAGTCAAATATATATTCTCAATTAATTATGCACAATTCTATTGCATTAATACGGATTTCATATCTATTGAGTGTTAAGTTAATTCAACAACGAACCCTTTTAATGAGTATTTGGGTCAGTCATTCCCATTAAATCTAATTGATGTTATTCAGTCATCCCTGATTTCATGGAGTTTATTTTAATATATATAATTTTTTTCTATATATATCTTCAATAACTTGTATAAAATTAAAAGCAAAAAACACAATAATTTACATAAAGAAAAAGTATTTAATGAATCTTTTAATTATTTAATATTATTTTTTAAAATTATTATTTTTAAACAACATTTTCACAAAAACTGTGATGTTTTATAATCAAATATATAAATTAATTAAATTGAACTTATTTAAGTTTAACCATTAACCACAGCTAAAACTGTGAGCATAAAGTTGTGTTAAATACATGGAACAAAAAAAATAATCGCTTGCATAATAATTGTATTTTACAACGATATTGCATTTTTTTTAAGAGGATATTTGTGGTTTGTGCAATAAAAATGATTTCTTCTAATTTTATTTTAAGTATTGCATTTTCAAAAATAATTTTGTTTCTATTTGTATAATTTATACGGCCTAAATATAATATTCTAATCTCACTTATCTAGTGATGACAATATAGATTTTATAGTCACTCAACAATCATATATNAAATTAATTAAATTGAACTTATTTAAGTTTAACCATTAACCACAGCTAAAACTGTGAGCATAAAGTTGTGTTAAATACATGGAACAAAAAAAATAATCGCTTGCATAATAATTGTATTTTACAACGATATTGCATTTTTTTTAAGAGGATATTTGTGGTTTGTGCAATAAAAATGATTTCTTCTAATTTTATTTTAAGTATTGCATTTTCAAAAATAATTTTGTTTCTATTTGTATAATTTATACGGCCTAAATATAATATTCTAATCTCACTTATCTAGTGATGACAATATAGATTTTATAGTCACTCAACAATCATATAGTTAACCTACTGTAAATATATAAGAGGGTCTTCACTTCTTTCAAACTTTAATTGATGTTTAGTACTTCATTATATAAGATGTATTTTCTTTTTTGAATTTGTAAGAATGTCTAACGAGTAATTGATCACAAAATTCAATTAAGACCTTGAGATGAAAAATCAAACATTTATAATAATGTATCTTAAATTTGGATTTGCAAGTACAAGAAAATCAAAAGAAGTATTTCATACATAGGAAGTTGAATGTGCGAGAAAAAAAGTCATTAACTTAAAAACTATCAACTTCTAATAAAACTCTAACATGTAAATAAAATGTTGTGTAAATGATTTGTACAATGATATTTAAAAAAAATCTGAATCTAAATCTTACGTTTAATAAAAATAAAAATTGAAAAACATAAAAAATTATAAATTTATTATATTGAAAGTTTTGAATCGAAAATAATATAATTTTTTATATGAATTTGAGTCTTGATAATATCGTCATTAAACTTTGTCGGAAGATTCATCAATACTACTTCTTTTTATTGAGTATATTATTATTATATCGTCTTATACACAAATTAAAAAAAAGAGTTGTATTTAAAAATTTTCATTTTTGGAAATTTTTTACTAATAATGAGTGTTTAGAAGCCAGAGCTATCATTTTTATCTTGGAAACAGCATGTATGCTTGTTTTTTTTATTTCTTTTTTGAGAATAACAATAATAAAATCCTGGAGAAAATCATAAGTGGCATAATAAAAAATACTATTTTTGTGTTTTATCTTAAGAAAAGACAAATAAGATAATTAAAAATGACTTTGTCTTGTGCAGTAAAAGATATTTCTGTAATTTTTTTATAACACCATTTTTTAAGAGCCTTAAAAAACTGTAAAAAAAAATAAAATTGTTTGTCTATACAGTTACATACTTGTATTCTTTCTCACGTTTTCTGAAAATATTTCAAACCCTGTTTCGAAACAGGAAACAATATCATTATATTGTCTACCTGAATTTCTCTTAAAAGCAACTATTCTTTTTATATTTAAATGACATTTTGAACATTTAAGTCAACATTGATTACTTTGTTGTCTTTTATATTTTCATCATTTATTGGTATTTAATGTTAATTACAATGTAAAAAGAAAGTATAAATTTTGTAAGTATTTTATTAAATAAAAGAAATTATAGCATTTCTTGATTTCCCTAAACAAATTCTTAAACCACGCTTAAAAACTAAAATAATATTATTTTCAGTGAATTTAATACTTAGCATTTAATAAACATGTGAATTTAATTTTGATAGTTACGATATGTTGATATTAAAACCACCGAACATTTGTAGAATATACCAATTCCAATAGGAATTAATTATTGAGATATTTTGAAGATGGAATTTTTGTGTTTATCAGGATTAATTTAAAAAAATGGATTAAAAAATTAAGTTATGTTATATATATATATATATATATATATATATATATATATATATTAAGGTTATGATATTTATACAATGTATATGAATATATGCATAAAAAGATATGATCATACTAATTAAGTGTATCACTCATTTTGCATGTGATAAATGTTGTCATCATTTTATCGTGTTTATTGGTATTATTGTCTTTTATGAGAATTATGATGATGATAGGTGTGATGATATCGTAACTCTTAAGAGACTCTTAGGTTTGTTTTTTTTTAAGATAAATTGAAGTCAAAATGAATGAATTTAAAGATAAATATGTTTAATATATATATATATATATATATATATATATTATGTGTATATATACGTTTATAAAAAGATGTGATGATACTAATACATTGTATCACCCATTTTGGATGTGATAAATGTTGTGATCATTTTTTGGTTTTATTGATATTATTGTCCTTTATGATAGTTATGGTGATAATAAGTGTGATGACATCATGACTCTTAGATGATGTTATGTATATTTTTTTTTAAAGATATGTTTGAAGATGAATGAATAAAATTATTATTATTTTTTTTAATATTTGAAGATAAGACGAGAGAGTGAGTCAACTTGGAAGTTGGAAGTAAAATTGATGAAACTTTATGAGTGATTTAGTTTATATAATAAAAAAAAGGGTTAATAGATATAAATTAAACATTACTAAATTGCTCTTGTATGTAAATGTAATATAAAATTACTTTTTGATTAGATAAAGTATTTTTAAAAAAAATAAGGTTTATGAATAGTTCCGAAGAAAAAAATTAATATTGTAATAAATAAAAATACAATGTATTTGGTATAAACTTTTTAACATGTTGAAATAATTTTCATTTTAATAATAAATTTTAAAAGCTAAATATTTTATCATTATTAAAATAATAGTGATTATTTATGTGATTAAGATTGTTCCAATAAAAAGACCCTTCATTAATATATAATAGTTGGAACAGAAGACCCTTTATAAATTTTGGAAATCTTAGTTGAAATATATTAAAAAAAATTACATTACACATTCAATTAACATTGATAAAAGTTAATATTTCAAAATACTTTAAAAATATATAATTCATAATTATTTTTTAATCATTTAATAATATTCTATAATAAAAGGTTTCTATTTAATGATTCGTAATCGTTTTCTTGCTGCAAGTTTAACAATTAGAAAATAGAACTTTTATGGAAATATTTTCGTGAATAGATGAACTTTGATTAAAAGGAAAATAAAAAATACTTCTAATATTTGTAATAAGACAGAAAAGATATAGAAATTAATTATTGTTATTATTGGGCAAGGTTATTTAACACTCAAATCTTTAAACAAAACATGACATTTTAAATAAGAAGTTACAATTGAAAATATCATTCATGTGATAGATTTATTTTCATTTTATCCGTCCTTACAACAAAAACAAGCAGCGAGGTCCTGTAAATTAAAAAAATGATAAATAATTAACAGTGTGTTCGATTGTCATAAAAAGGTAAAAATAATTAAGTTTATTTTCAGTATTAAAAATGAAATGATTCTTTTGAGCAGAAAACTTTTGAAAACGCACTAGTAACAGAATGTGTAGACACGAGTTTAAGGTTTAATTCGTTTCATTTATTTCATTTTTAGATAAACACTAACACTAATAAAATTAAAAAATCCAAAGTGTCATGTGCCCCACTGAGAGAGTATACCTAATCACCAAACCAAACGTAACTATAAATAATGTTAGATAGACAATCAATGGAAGCATTAATCTGAGCTATTGCAGTGGCAGCCACTGTTTACACCTCTCTCCCAAACGCCGTCGTTTTGCTCCGCCACCGCTGCTTCCTTCTCGAACCTTCCACCATGTCGATTCGCGATTCCGAATCCTTCAATTGGCACTCCGACGCGGAGCTCGAAGACCAGGACCTCCATATCCGCGGCCAGAAGCTCTTCTTCATCGTCGTCCTTTTCTCCATCGTCGTCCTCTTCACCGCGCTCTTCCTCTTCGCGCGACGGATCTGCCACCACCACGGCCTCCTCTTCGACGCCGTCCCACCGCAACAGGCGCCGCCGACGCTTCCATCTGATGACGGCCTCGACGCCGACGCGATCAAGCGGCTACCGATCATCCTGCACCAGCGCACGGCGGCGGAGGAGACGGAGTGCTGCATCTGCCTCGGCGCGTTCGTCGACGGCGCGAAGCTGAAGGTTCTCCCTGGATGCGAGCACAGCTTCCACAGCGAGTGCGTGGACAAGTGGCTCGCGAATCACTCCAATTGCCCTCTCTGCAGAGCTTCGCTGAAACTCAATCCTTCGTTACCGAGGATTTTGATCCAATCGCCGCCCGTTAGAACAACGCTTCCTCTCTGATACTTTTTTTCAGTTCAGACTAGTAACTTAGAAACAGTTGAGTAGTTCTCACTTGTTTTGGATCATATTTTGCATGTGTAAATCCTTGTAAGAACTACTAATGAATCGCCGAGAAATATTCATAGTTCTCAAACATTTTCTTTCCTTTCCTTCATGGCATTGCTTTCAAATTTGATAATTCACAAATATAATTAATTATTTATCCACATACATTATAAACATTCTTTTAATGCATGAATATTAAAATCAATTTAGACACTCTTCACTATAAGTACTGCTAGTTATCTACTTGCACGGTTTGATAAGTTGGATAGAAGATTAAGATCTGGATAAGAAATATGCGATTATATGGTTTTTATTTTAAGAAATATACAATAACGTGGGAATGAAATAAGATCTGTGTCGGGAGTTTTCCGCATTTTGAACGAATTTCATTAATTTAGATAAGAAAATACCCAGATTCCGAATTTAAAACTTCAAATAATTTTATTGTTTTAGTATAACAGGAGTCAAAATAATTGAGTGTGGTTTGGCATTTGAATACTATTACAACACAGAAAAAGTATGAGTGTTTTTTTTTTCAGTGCTCTGCTGCATTTCTTTATTTGGAATGTGTGAATTATTAGTCGCATTTGCCGAAGTTGGAGTATTTACTGAGAGTTAATTAAATATTAATAATTTATTGGAAGATGCGAATTGGCAGAGGCAAACAAAAGGGGTACCCAAGAAATTCCTTTCACATGTGACAGAGGTTTTTCACAGTTTTATATTCTTGGTTTTGTTTTGTTGCCACGTTGGGTGATGGAAAAGTACGAGACCGAAAAGTTCATAATATTATTTGCTTGGACCCTCATCCATACAATATTACGCTCTTGAAGGTTCTGTTTGTGTTGCGAAAATAGATCATGGGTGACTTTTTAAGAAATTGGGACCCAAAACGCGGAAAAGCGCGACTATGCTACGACCCCTCCCCTCGTTGTCGTTTTCAATTGCTTCGATCCATTTAATGTCTTCTTAGTAACTTTTATGTTAAGACTTTATAAGTAATTATATTCATATATTTTAAAGTTTAGAAATAAAAATATATCAAAGTATATTCAACAATCACATGACAATATTTATAAGAATAAAATAGTTTTAATAAGAAAAGAAAAGAGAAAGTGAAGAATAATAAGAAATAGTATGAATAGGTTTTAAAAAAAATTATTGTGTTAAATTTATAGTATATGTTTTCTGTGATGACAAGTTACCCATCACTTGGATTTCGCTTGCAACGCGTGTTTCATGCTGTTTGTTTATGTGAACACGTTTTCAGTTTCCAAACGGGATTTGTAGTCTCTTTTACAGAGGAACTGAGCAAGCAATTCTACTTTTTACCAACTTTAAGTATTCACATGTTTTTTTAGGGAATCAAACTCAGATAAATATATACAATAAGATTAATTTGAACGAAAAGTTCTGTAAATAAAACAATACTATAGTATTCATTAAATGTTTAGAATTATGAAATCTTAATCTTAATATGCATGTAGAGATGTAATTTATGAACAGGTTTTGCCGCTCCAAGTTTTGTAATAAAACAGATATTTCCAACTTTAGTTTATTTGTGATATTATTTTCCAGGTTTTTTTAAATGAAACGAGTGGAGAAATTCAAGGAATGATCAAAGGAGAGCTTTTTTTAGTTAGATTAAATGCTCTAGCAGTAAAGGAGATAAATGATATTTTTGTATAACAAAAGAACATGCTAAGAAAAAAGTAGGCGACAGAGAAATTAGGGTAATTTTTTGCATTGATTTTATAATTCACATGTTACAGGAAAAACAATTTATTTTCATAACCTATTATTCCTTTATGAAGATCCGTGATCCATTTTGAGTAAAAAGGTTTCCACGGTAAAGAAAGATTTAATTTATGAAATTTAAACAGCCACCGATTGGGAACGAACATAATACCTTTACCTTTTCCCTTCCTTTAAAATATTCTCAAACCTTTTTAGCTTAGATCTAAATTTTGTTTGGATTTTTAATGAAGGCATCTTGTTTGTTGTATTATTTCGTGTCTTTTTCCTTCTACTTCCATATTCGTCTTTTCATTTTTAATACCAACAAAAATATTCATATCGGGAATTCATATTTAATTACCAACAAGTATATATAATTTTTTTTTTCATTTAGCAGAGAAAATATATAATTTATAACAAAATATTTGTTTTGTTCCAACCCATTTATAAAATGTTTACATGAGAAAAGTTCTATTGATATATCATTGTGCACATCTTCTCTACACTACAAATAAATTCCTTCTATAACAAAAATGAATAAGAATAATTCATAATTGTATTCAAACCTCAAAACTTCTTCAAATAAATAGGATTATTTTGTCCCTTACTTACAAATTACATTATCCCTCAGACCAGATAATCACGTGTTCTCTTTCAAGGTTAGATATTTGTCATACGTAATAGTATTCCCTGTCTCCAATTCTTGTATCTCTTTCAGTTCATTTACTGATGTTGAAACATTCCTATTTGAAGCAATTCTCAATGCTATTTTACTTTGCAGTGTTTTTTTTTTCTCCACCATAATTGAGCATTATAAAATTCTTTCCTATTATAAGATAATATAATTGCATACATCTAACATTTCTCTTTTCTTCACACCATAATTCCATGACTTTTTTAACCATTTGAAGTCCCAATTTGCCTCAGTTATTCCATTCTAACAAGTACTTCGTCAACCATTTATAATCCCATTCAATCCATTTCTACAAGTCACTCTTTCCTCCATAATTACTTTATCCTATTTATACATAGTTATGCCAACTAAAATATTTTAAACCTATTCCACACAAAATGCATAACTACCCATTTCACTGATTACAAAATTGTTAAAATTCTTCTTTTGTTGGTACAATCAGTACTATAAGTATTTTGAACATGCAAAATTGTACTCATCAACTCGAGATTATATAAATCATATTAGGCTTGTGAACATTACTAAAAAAAAGTGGTAACCCTTTTGTGCTTTATTTCATCCTTCTTTCTAGAGTTTTTTTATATACAAAAGTAGAAAAAAATAAATCAATGATGATTTATTAAAATAGATGTAATCCACTGTAATAACATTTTCGTAATAAAAGTATTAGTTATTATGTAGATAAAAGAAGACTTACATAATAAAGAGGACAAATTTATTATGACGGATCATATATATATATATATATATATATATCATAGTAAGTGAAATGCGGTGACATATAAATATAATTATAGTGAAAAATCATTATGTTTATTTTTGAAACATTTGATCTTAATCTTACTATTGCGCTCTCGATCGTCTTTCATTCTTGCACCATCTTTTTCACTCAATCCAGTCTTCCATCCTCAACATCGTATCGTTGCAATAACAATCTCATCTTCCACCTTCAATCTCATTTTCCAGTCATCGTTCGTTCTCCACCCCTCATGCAACAATCTTGTATTCTATGACCCTTGTCGGTCGTTCTTCACCCAATCCAGTTCACGTGACAGCTCGACTTCTTCTCACATCATTCGTTTTTCACTGACGCACGTCGTAATTTTGAAAAACTTGAAAGTGTTCTTAAGGTCTTCAAAGTTTTACCTTTTATATCAAATTTCCATTCATTTATTGTGGTTCTACATAACTTCCCAACATAGTATAAATTATTAGGAATTTAAGACCTTTTCTAAGTTTTCAATTTTTTTTAAATTTATTAGGGATTTAAGACTATATTAAGTATCAATATCAATATCAATTGGGACTTAGAAAGATGGACAATTCAATTAATTTAATATTTTTTATAATATTCTTATATTTTTGTCAAATAAATTTTTTTTTCATTGTCATGTCTACTGTTCTAATGCAACATGGATGAAACACTAATGTTTATTCAACATCTCAAAACACCAACTATCATTTAGAAATTAACATAAACAACTTTGAAAAGGCCTTCCATAGGTAGGTCCTACTCTTTATTGTTTCCTCTTTTAATCCTTATAAAAGTTTTAGCTTAGTATGGTTTGTCTTTCATATTTACCCAATTATATTTACCAAACATTTGATGTCTCCTGGTTCCAACATGAGGAAAGTTAAAACTATCGATTCTAGTTACCGAATATTTTCGTTGTTTCATGTCTTTTATTGTATTTCCTTGTTTCTTATTAACATACGGTTCCTTTGCTTTCTCTTTTACATAATCTTAAGCAAAATTTAGGTTTAATCATTTCGCATGTCCCTATTTTTGTGAAATTGTCTCAAATAGGTCCTTGTATTTTATTTGATCTCAATTAGGTCCTTATTTTTGTTAAATTTACTCAATTGAAACCTTGTCGTCAATTAGACTGGACGACGTTAAAATTTCTGTATGTTCACTCGCTGACTGCGCAATTTTGAATGATGTGGCATAGTGTGATCGTTTTAGTTGGAAAACCCTCGTCGAAAAATTGGCTCTCCTACTAGTATCCATTGGAATGGAGGGCATTAGCAGGCAAAATCTTCTCCGACATCTTCCACATGTAATAATCACCTCCCATAGCGCCATAGCCACCTGCAAAAGCACTTGCTTGAAACGTAATTTTGGTAATCTAACCATACAGATGATTGTATCTCACGTTCAACTTCTGAAGCCCAACAACTTTCTTCGGAATCTTACCAAACATGACATTATGTGACAAATCCAGATTCCTAAACATGTCCCCAAACCTCAATTTCCCGAAATCAAACCTCAAACCTCAAGTTGTTCCTCGTTGCCCAAATCCCCACCAAATGTAAATATTATGTTTAATTATAAAAGTGAGAGGAACATAGAGTTCCACCGCAGCGATTCATCACCGCCGTCTTCGTCCATGCCCACACCCAACACCACCGATCCCAAGAAACCCGCAACCGACGCAATCCTGATGGGAGTTAGTGTCCAAGGCTCGTTCCCGCATCCACGCCCTTGCCGCCAGCCTCCCCTCTTCCTCCCACAACCCCCTTTCCTCTCTCATCGACTCCGACCGTCCTGCCCTTTCCCTCCTCTCCTCCTCCATTGCCTATGTTGTCGTCTCAGCCTCCCTCCTTAGCTCTCACTCCCACCCCCTCTGCCACTGGCTCTACGCCACCTTCCTCTCCTCCAA